CACTTTTGAATAGTCAATACATTTTTTTTATCTACCGCTCATTCGGAAAGCTGTCTCATCACAAGAAGAACGAGCAAGAAACTTGCGTGTTGCTCTTTTAAATAATTTTATTATTACTGTACGTGTGTGAATACAAACCACCAATTAGCACTAATTCAATTAAATACTCAAATTGAAAAAATATTGAATATATAACCAACTGGTTAAACAATTGATAAGAGGAAATCAGTCATAGTGATTTGAGCAGACTAGTCCCTACAAGCAGCACCCGTTCACGAGTATGACGGATGAGCCAGCCATCACTGCGCTCGACCATATTTTAGGGAGCACAATGACCCGGCCCACCACGCCACCATAAGTCTGGACATTTTAGTACTCAAAACACCAGACCACGTCAAAGCTACTTACAATTGCCATCTGATAATTATAGTATTCACATTTTACATAAGAATTCATGCGGCAATCAATACAAAACCCGCTACGCTTTCATATTTCTAAAATAATTGAATCAAGAAAGCAATGAGATAAACAAATTATAACGTTGTATGCTAATAAACTAATTATTTACTTGATATGTTGTCGTCTTTGAATTCGCCTATCCTGTAATAGGCTTTCTTACACAAAAATTGTTTAATATAAGATTTGAATTGCCTCTCTGTCAGATTTAGTGCAGATTCTGGCAGTTTATTATAATTATTATAATAAAATAGACTCTATATTATAAATATATAAAATAAATATGTTTATTATATTTATCTGATATATTTATAACGAGCTGTTCCCGCGACTTCGTCCGCGTAGAATTTAACTTTATTTGTCTAAAATAAAAGTAGCCTAAGTTACTCCCTATTACATTAGCTACCTGCCAAAAAAAGTCGCGTTAAAATCGGTCCAGCCATTTCAGAGATTAGCCGGAACAAACAGACAGACAAAAATTGTAAAAATTGTTATTCTGTATAGTAAAAAACGGATATTTCTGGTGTATGTACCGTATTTATATTCATATGCATGTAGTAAAAAACCATTATTTCAATATTACAAACAGACAGTCCAATTTTATTTATATGTATAGATATATAGTAGTCTTAATTATTAATAATACAAGTAATAGAACCCTAGATAATAGCTTATAATTAATCCTTACTATTTATAAATGAGAAAGTAACTGTCTAGCTCATCTATCATGCTTCACGCCACTACTGAATAGATTTTAATAAAATTTTGTATCTACCGACAGTCCAGACCCTAAGAAACAACACAGGGTTACTTTTTAATAAGAGAAAGGGATTGTAAGGGAAGATGAAAATTTGTATGACAGTAAAGCTAGGTTTTTGGAATAGATCATACTGGAATGGTGCACCCGCCTGCGCTAACGGTTCACGCTGGCGGGGCACCAGTGGAGGATGAGACGAGTCAGGCCAGGTATCCATCGTGACAAATTCACCTGGAATTTATCATAATGGTTTCCAGGAGGAACCGCGTGGAGGTCACCTGACATGGTACTTACCTAGCAATAGGATCAACAGTCCACATTACTGACAATAATCTTCCAACCAAGCTAGAAGCTTGAAACTTGTTATTTGGTTGTTAATAAATAAATATGACATTTGATGTTTGTAAAAATGTTACCCTTAAGGGTGTAAAATAAAATAGGAGATGAAGGTTACTCTGGAAATTCGACATTCCTGAAGCTAGAGCGGTGAAACTTTTTGTGACGTTTTGGGTTAATTTATAATATTTTTATTTATTTCTTTCAGGCAGCTTAATATTATTATTGTAGAGTATTGGCCCAGATTACATATACCTTAAAGACCAACATATATAGAATATAATAAACAATATTAATAAAAAAACTGAACTGAACGGTAGCGAAAAAATTAAAATTATAATGTAAAAAGTTTGACATTCATAAGCGGCTAAAATGTCCTGCATGAATAAATGATTTTTGAATTTGAATTTAAAACAAAATAAAATATTAATTTAGACTATTATTGTTGAATATTTTTTCTTTATCTGTTCAAGGTCATTCCACGCGGACGAAGTCAGATTATTTTTCCCGGACTACTCTAATGCTGTTAACCGCAGCTGGCCTTTACAGCTTCACCGGACGATAGGGGGCGAGTGCAGATGGCACTTCAAACCAAGGAAGAACTTATGGAGCGGCTGAAGGCCAACTACCGAACGGATACGATTTTAGTCTGAGGGCATCACTAGGGGTTCGTTTGGCTCAAGCCGTCGTAATATCGATCCCCGTTTGAATTGGACGGCGGATCGATCGGAGGGGACGAAGTCGCGGGCACAGCTAGTTGTATATCTAGACACGCGGGAGCGTGTCAAAGCCGAGTTCAAGTAAGAGAACTGGCGAGCAGCACCGTGTGTAGTTTTACTTTTTACACGAACCATTTAGAGCCACTTTTAATCCCCTCATAACTCAAAAACTCTTTCACATAAACCTGTCAAATCTGGTTCATATATTGAGACTTTCGAAATAAATATGTGTTCCAAATTCCATAGATATATGAAAAAATATACTGTAGCCTTCGCAAGTTCTAAACCTGTTACTTGTCGGTTCCTATTTTATTATTAGTAGTAACTAGCCATCGAAAGTAATAATTGGTATATGAGAACTAGCCACGTCAGACCGTAGGCTACAATATATTATCCTAAATTATAAGAAGAAATGATATTTTATATTGTTATAAATACATTTCAGGACAGACCATTGAACTTGGCACCCATTTAGATCTCACCTCTTTTGTCGTAGAAGTCTAGGCATATATTATAATATTGAACTCGGCTATCATTTCACATTTATGTTTTTGATGGGATATATTTATACCCAAATTATAATGAATGATACATCGAACAGAATGCGGATAAGGAATTTGAATAATCCTTATTACACTAGTTATTTAAATACAAAGATGGCCTCTACATCGTTTGTGTTACATACATTAAATATCTAAATAGACAATTGAAATGTGTCACAGGCCTTAATAGGCCATTTTTATTCTTCGCAGTCTTGACCGGCAGTCGTTTGACGGCATCGCGAGTTCGATTCCTGGCACGATGCAGACGTTTGTATCTTTGAATATAATTATTTGTATACATCTAGTTGTTTTCCATGTATATTTTATGTATGTATTTTTTATGGATGATAATGGTGCTCCCGCCTGCGCTAACGGTTTACGCTGGCGGGGCACCAGTGGAGGATGATAAGATGAACATGAGGTCAGGTTAGTTAGCCCATCGTGACAAATTCACGATGGCTTCCAGGGGGAACCGCGTGGAGGTCAACCTGACATGGTATATTGCTAGTAATGGGGTCATGAGCCTACATTCACTGACCACATATCTGGTACACCATCGATGCATTATGTATGATCATTTGCATCGATCTGGGTGTATTCTATGTATATTATGTATGTATTTACAAAAAAAAACTATGTATTTATATCAGTTGTCTAGTACCCATAACACACGCTCTGCTTACCGTGGGACTAGATGGCGCTGTGTTAATTGTCCAGGGTTATTTATTTATTTATATCAGTTGTCTAGTACCCATAACACACGTTCTGCTTACCGTGAGACTAGATGGCGCTGCGTGAATTGTCCAGGGTTATTTATTTATTTATATCAGTTGTCTAGTATCCATAACACAAGCTCTGCTTACCGTGGGACTAGATGGCGCTGTGTTAATTGTCCAGGGTTATTTATTTATTTATATCAGTTGTCTAGTACCCATAATACAAGCTCTGCTTACCGTGGGACTAGATGGCGCTGTGTTAATTGTACAAGCTTATTTATTTATTTATATCAGTTGTCTAGTATCCATAACACAAGCTCTGCTTACCGTGGGACTAGATGGCGCTGTGTTAATTGTCCAGGGTAATTTATTTATTTATATCAGTTGTCTAGTACCCATAACACAAGCTCTGCTTACCGTGGGACTAGATGGCGCTGTGTTAATTGTCCAGGGTAATTTATTTATTTATATCTGTTGTCTAGTACCCATAACACAAGCTCTGCTTACCGTGGGACTAGATGGCGCTGTGTTAATTGTCCAGGGTTATTTATTTATTTATATCAGTTGTCTAGTACCCATAACACAAGCTCTGCTTACCGTGGGACTAGATGGCCCTGTGTTAATTGTCCAAGGTTATTTATTTATTTATATCAGTTGTCTAGTACCCATAACACAAGCTCTGCTTACCGTGGCACTAGATGGCGCTGTGTTAATTGTCCAGGGTTATTTATTTATTTATATCAGTTGTCTAGTACCCATAACACAAGCTCTGCTTACCGTAGGACTAGATGGCGCTGTGTTAATTGTACAAGCTTATTTATTTATTTATATCAGTTGTCTAGTACCCATAATACAAGCTCTGCTTACCGTGGGACTAGATGGCGCTGTGTTAATTGTCCAAGGTTATTTATTTATTTATATCAGTTGTCTAGTACCCATAATACACGCTCTGCTTACCGTGGGACTAGATGGCGCTGTGTTAATTGTCCAGGGTTATTTATTATTATTATTGATCTGGGTGTTTTCTATGTATATTATGTATGTATTAAAAAATTATATTGTTGTCTATCAGTTATCTAGTTTACATGCTTTGTTTAGCTTGAGACGAAATTGCCCGGTGTGGATGATTCTGTGTCATTACATAGTATAAAACAAAGTCGCTGTCGCTGTCTGTCCCTATGTATGCTTAAATCTTTAAAACTACACAACGGATTTTGAAGCGGTTTTTTTAATAGATAGAGTGATTCATGAGGAAAGTTTATATGTATAATACATGTACACCTGTGAGAAGTCGGGGTGGTTGGCTAGTTATTATATACATAGCAGGCTGTTTAGTGTCACAAAAAATGAGGTTCTTTACAGAGAACTTTGAACAAATTTTATTACTGATTAAACTTTAAAATAATAAAATTTATAAAATAAACTTTTCTTTAAAATAAACGTTTCTCACGCTGTTACTCTTGTGGTAGCTGGTCTACTGAGAGCTCTCGTTAACAGAGTCCTCGCTGACGTCGTTGTTATTGGATGACGGCTTTTCACCAATGATAGCTGGAATCACCTGACAACATTTTTTTTATGGATTACTTGCTGTTCCTACGACGTCGTCCGCGAATTTAACTTTATTTTCTAAGATAAAAGTAGCCTAAGTTATATCAGCTACGTGCCAAAAAATGTCCCGTCAAAAGCAGTCCAGCCATTTCAGAGATTAGCCGGAACAAACAGACAGACAGACGAAAATTGTAAAAAATGTTATTTTGGTGTATGTACCGTATTTATATTCATATGCATGCTGTAAAAACGGTTATTTCAATATTACAAACAGATAACATAATATTTTACAAACAGACACTCCAATTTTATTTTTATGTATAGATGTGAAAGTATGGATGTTTCAAGCAAAAACTACTGAACCGATCATCATGAAATTTTGTACACATCTTCTTGGAGATGTTAGTATGAACATAGGATACTTTTTATTAAAAAAATATATAAAAACAAAATAAATACAATAATCAACATTTTGCTACTTCAGCGCCAACTAGCAGCCAGTAATTAAGTTATGTGAGCGAATCCGCGGGTAAAAGTTAGTTACTTTATATAAATAGATGTATGTTAAAAATAAAAATCTTGATCAGAATGTAAACAAGTTTTTTTAATTAATTGAACGCATTTTGTGATAAATATAAACTGTAAACTCTATTTTAATTCTGACAACCAGTCCAACTTGCCTGACCGGGAAATCAAACCTCTGCCCTTCATTTGTCATATTACAGGTTTCATAATATTTTAGGTACAATCGACAAGGTTTTTTAATTTTTGGTTCATGTGTTTTTATCATGGACGGCCTCGGTGGTGTAGAGGTTTAGCACACCGCCTCACTTCCGATGGTCGCGGGTTCGATTCCTCGCACGGCACAAATATTTTGTATTCATGAGTATGATTGTTTGAATCTGGGTGTTTTCTATCTATACATATAAATAAAATTGGAGTGTCTACTTGTAATATTGAAATAATCTTTTTTTACTACATGCATATGAATATAAATACGGTACATACATCAAAATAACATTTTTTGCAATTTTTGTCTTGTCTGTTTGTTTCGGCTAATCTCTGAAATGAATGGACCGATTTTGACGGGACTTTTTCTGGTAGGCAGCTGATGAAATAAGGAGTAACTTAGGCTATTTTTATTTTAGAAAAATGAAGTAAAATTCCATGCGGACGAAGTCGCGGGTGCAGTTAGTAAGTTAATAAATGTGAGATGAAATTTTATGCATCTTTGTTACCTGTTGCCTGCCAAAGGAACCACGACGAACCACCAGGTTTCATGTGTGAGGATCGTTCTTACCTGTGTTGGGGACACACATACAAGAACTTTCTCGTTTACGTGAGACGTATGTCTGGTCGTCATGGGCTTTTGCTCTATTAGATAGTTTCCGGGGGTTACTTGGTGGTCGCCTAACATGGTGCATGAATTTAGGGTCACTAGTCCCCATTCCCCTATTATCGTAACTTAGATGTCCCCTGTTTTTTTTGGGGTTTTGGGCTATTGTCAGGTGCTAAGACCTGTAGTACTGCGACTTGTATAGATCTATTGTGCTCGGCCTTTTTCAAAGTACGCTACCTAGACCCGTCAGGGACAAGAATTGAAGGATATTCTTAGGAGCTATGGTTTTTATCTCCTCAGGATAGAGTGTATACTTTCCAAAGGAGATATTTCGTTTATGAGGGGACTGACCACATAGGATGTCCCGTGTTACCTGTTCTCCTAACATGACGAGTATCTGCGCGACCTTCTTGATGGTCTCCAAGTCCTGAGGGGTTGGCAGCGGCAGCCGAGCCTCCTGTACTGGCTGCAGGTGCTGGCTGTGAGATGCCAGCCGCGAGGTCAGTTCCGACACGGCTGCCAGCGGGTGGTATTCACCGTCATGGTACTAAAACATCAGATTTTGCTGTACCAATAAGTCGGGAATCACAAAGGTCGAGACTTCAAAACTGGCAGCATCATCATTACATAGTATAAAACAAAGTCGCTGTCGCTGTCTGTCCGTCCTTATGTATGCTTAAATATTTAAAATTTAATTGATTCAAGAGGAAGGTTAATATATATTAGGCACATTGATTGAAGTAGAAAAAGTACAATCCATCACATTAAGTTATTGTTGCTAAGTAACAGTTTGTATGCAACGTGCAACTGCAATCGGAGCGAAGTAAATTATATTTACTACTATATATGTAATCCACTCAATATCTCTATCAAATACATGTACATCCGTGCGTAGCCGGGGCAAGTAGCTAGTTTATTATAAAACTAACTGTAAATTTTTCACTGTTCTTATTGGTACCTACTAGAAAGAAACTTAATATAATAACTTTTGAATATTCATATTTTTTTTATTCTACCACTCATTTGGATTGCTAACTCATCACAAGAAGAATGAGCAAGAAACTTGTGTGTTGCTCTTTTTTCTTGTGATGAATCACAAAATGTTGTTCTAAATAACTATTTCTAAGTAAATACCTATTTAGTATATATAACGTAACTAGTCCGTTCAACATTATCTATACATATAAATAAAATTGGAGTATCTGTTTGTAATAATGAAATTACCGTATTTTACTACATGCATATGAATATAAATACGGTACACACACCAGAAGAACATTTTTTACAATTTTTATCTGTCTGTCTGTACCGGATTATCTCTGAATTGGCTAGACCGATTTGACTTTTTTTGGCAGGTAACTGATGTAATAAGGAATAACTTAGGCTACTTTTATTTTAGAAAATTATAGTTAAATTCCACGCGGGCGAAGTCTCGGGTACAGCTAGTTTATAATATAAATAATTATTTATTCACTTATTTAAGGAATAACTTCATTTTAATTTAACTAAATGCAAATTTATTTATTTGTAGAGCAATAAACAGGTAACTTGGTAACTTACAATAGGCTCAGCAACTGATGCTGGCAAAATCAACCCGAGAAGTAGGAGCCAATGTAGAAACGGTGAGCAGTACATGATCATCTCGCGCACCATCCTCCACACTGACTGTGATGCAACAGACTCACATAACATGACCATAATATACAATGACTCTAATCGACCAATTTCAAACAATATGATTGAGATTATTATTGTGATTGATGTAAATAGGGATTGATAGGATAATTCAAAAAACAAATAATACTTAAGTACTCGGTAATTTTATTAATGACGACCGCTACGATTTAGCACAGATTTACTTTTATTATATGTATGTATTGTAGCCATTTGTGGGATGGATCTGCCAAATATCAGCTGGCTAACCTGGACTCTGTTTTTTTTATTATGTTGTTTGGGCTATTGTCAGGTGCCTGTAGCACCAGTAGCACTGCGACTTACATAGATCTATTGTGCTCGCCCTTTTTCAGAGTTCGCTACCTAGACCCGTCAGGGACAAGAATTAAGGATATTCTTAGGAGCGATGGTTTTTATCTCCTCGGGAAAGAGTGTAAACTTTCCAAAGGAGATATTTCGTTTATGCATGAGTGGGCTACAACCACTTAGGATATGTAGTGGCGTTTCCTCTTCAGTTTGCAGTTTTTGTTTAATTTGCAGTGTCCTATGAAGGCCCTAGTTATCAGGCATATGTTGTTACTCACTAGCAGTAGTCTATTGGAGTATTTGATTAATGTTCGTTTTCTCTGTTGAGCGCCGATCTTTGAGGTTAATTAGGGATGACACTTTAATAAAATAGACTTCAGACACTAGAGCCTAGACAAAAGTGGCCAGTTTGTCGGGGTTTTATAGATGCACTTTGGCGTCAGGCCGACCTGCATAATTTGCCTTCCACTTTTTACCACCGAACTACACTTTACGATGAACATTAGAACTTCATCCGTACGTCGTGGAATGTCCGCACATTCTCGCTGATCCTTTCTGATACACACTGCCAAAGAGTGGAACACATCCAGCTTCCGTATTCCCGGAGAAATACAACCCCGGATTTATCAAGTCTATGATGTAGGTAGGTTGGACTCCATTTTCCGCAATTGGCCTCTCACTCGGGCCGTTGTGCGTGTCAAGTCTATGGTTAATAGATTTCTTCTGGGTAAGCGTTGTACATCCTAGGTCTTGCCATCATTTACCATCAGATGAGGTAAGACCAAGTGTAAACCCATTTGTAATAAAAAAAATGTAAATACATTTGTATGTCCTTTATTTTTTTATTCATACACTTAGCTAACTAGCTTTCAATTAATCAGCTCTACTTCCAATGGTCGCTGGTTTGATTCCTCGCATGGTGCAATCATTTATAATCGTAAGTATGATTGTTTATGTCTGGGTATTTTCTATGTATGTAATATATGCCTATAACACAAGATCTGTATAGCTTGGGACTAGATTGTGTGAATTGTCCTGAGATAAAAAAAACTTTAATTTCATTGGCATTTAAGAGCCCACGCACACTGAGAGCAGGAGTTCCCAGTTCCGAGTTCCGTGTTCGCCGTTTATTAGAATGTACCGAACCTATAACAACGCACAGAGCGGGCAGTCTGACCGCGGCGGTCAAAGCGGAACTTCGCGTTCCAAGAGTTCTTTTCCCGCCAAGACAGGGAACGTCGGAACGCCGCGATGTCTGAGTTTGAAAATACGGAAAAATGTGCGTTGGAACTCCTGGGTGGTCAACGGTCACTAGAACGCAGAACTCTGACCGCTCTCTATATGTAGGTGCAGAAACACAGCTTACAAAGCAAGTTACTTGAAATTAGGTTAAATGGATAACATCTTATTTGTTTTGAATGACAGCGCATGTGTGGTTTCTCAGTCGTCACATGGTGACGTCATATCCGTAATGCTACTCATGTATATAGGCGACGCTTACGTCCAATTTAAAGGGGGATCGTAATGACGACAGCCCGAGCTGAGGTGCGAACAACTAGCGGTGCCCTCTGTACCCGTCAGGCGGAAATTGTCCTTCAGCCGGTCTATAAGACCTTCCGCGGATTTGGAGTGCCATCTGCACTCGCCCCTATCGTCCGGTGAAGTTTTAAAAGCCAGCCATATATAGTTTTGAATTTAATTAGGCCTCGGTCTACCGGTTTAGCACATCGCTTTATTTCCGATGGTCGGGAGTTTGATTCCTTGTACGACACAAACATTTGTATTCATGAGTATAATTTTATCTACTTGGGTGTTTTCTATATATAAAATTATAAGTTAAAAAGAAAAAGTTGTACTTTTGCGAAACAATAAAAAATTAAGATTACAATTGTCAAAAAATTACTGGCATAAATTGTTATTATTTATTAGTACTTATATAGGTGTCTATGTTTAACATTAAGTGAAAATCCCGTGCATGAACAACTATTGCCATGCTCGCTCGTCATTAAAGTAATCGTTTAGTAAAGTGCGATCCCATCAAAAACATAAATGTGAAATAATAGCCGAGTTCAATATTATGATATATGCCTTGATTGTTGACTTCTACGACAAAAAAGGTGAAATCTAAATGAGTGCCAAGTTCAATGGTCTGTCCTGAAATATATTTATAACAATATAAAAATCATTTCTTCTTATAACTTAGGATAATATATTGTAGCCTAAGATCTGACTTGGCTAGTTCTCATATACCAATTATTACTTTCGATGGCTAGTTACTACTAATAATAAAATAGGAACCGACAAGTAATAGGTTTAGAACTTGCGAAGGCTATAGTATATTCACCTAAATACCTATCTGCATGCCAAATTTGAACATCCTAGGTCATCTGGAAGTGGGTTATAATTTTGATCTACAGTCGATCAGTGATAAAAATTACGATATTTGGACGTTAATATCTAAATATAATAACCGTTTAAGATATGTTTATGAAATTTGGAACACATATTTATCTCGCAAGTCTCAATATATGAACCAAATTTGACAGGTTTATTTGAAAGAGTTTTTGAGTTATGAGGGGGTCAAAAGTGGCTCCAAATGGTTCGTGTAATACTACACACGGTGCTGCTCGCCAGTTCTCTTACTTGAACTCGGCTTTGACACGCTGCCGCGTGTCTAGATATGACCTTACTGTTTAGTTCCTAATAAATCATCAGTGTTTCAAGCACACACTAATGTTTTCACAGGTATAATCGAAGGTAACACTGTACTTCTCTCAATGTTACAGTCGATTCGATATTTTATATTCAAGTACATGCTATTATTTTCTTAGATTTTACCCGCGGTTTCGCTCGCATTGATTTCATTAAATATATATTTTTTTTTAATATATCTAATACATCCAAGAACATGTGTACAAAATTTCATGATGATCGGTTCAGTAGTAGTTTTGCCTGAAAGCGTAACAAACATCCTTACTTTCACATTATTACATAGTATAAAACAAAGTCGCTGTCGCTGTCTGTCCGTGCCTATGTATGCTTAAATCTTTAAAACTGCGCAACGGATTTTGATGCGTTTTTTTTAATAGACAGAGTGAATCAAGAAGATGGTTTATCTATATAATACATGTACACCTGTGCTTGTTTTTATCGGTCTGGGTGTTTTCTATGTATGTATTATATATATATATGTATTTATATCAGTTGTCTAGTACTCATAACACAAGCTGTGCTTAGCTTGGGGTTAGATTGTGAATTGGTCCTGGCATTAATTAATATTTACAGAAGGCTAAATTATCAACTGATAATCACGCTGTATCACGCATGTAACGCCGCAGTATACACCTAGTTATAAATACATTACTTATTACAGGGAGTCAAATTGTAAAACGTAATTGGACTGATCTTAGATAAGGGATTTTTTTATGAAATTTAGCAATTTCCAGCTTGTGTGTAGCCCAGAACAATAGGTGAGGTACGATGCTGTATAACAATAATATCTGATATCATAAATTGATGTTTATCATTACGGTTATGCAGCGGTGGGCCGGCAGCGCCGTGGCGTGATGTGGGGGCGTCGCAACAACCTAGGGTTATCACGTTAAATTATCGAAGTTTTTTTTTAAAACACAGGGGACAAACGAGCATGGGTCTCACTTGATGGTAAGTGATTACCGCCGCCCATGAGCACCCGCAACACCAGGGGAATTGCAAGTACGTTGTCGGCTTTTTAAAAAGGAATAAGCTCTTTTCTTGAAGGTTTCAATATCGTATCGGCTCGGAAATACTATTGCTGGAAGGTGATTCCATAATGTGGTTGTGCGTGGCAAAAAGTTTCTAGAAAACCACACTGTGGAGAACCGTCATTCATCCAGATGATCAGGATGGTATTTTAGTTGCTGGCGTGTGGTACGGTGTTGAAACTCAGCAGCTGGTATTAATCCGAACAATTCCTCAGAACACTCCCCGTGATATATGCGGTAGAAAATGAACAGAGATGCAATATTTCGCCGCAGAGCCAATGGGTCGAGTCTGTCACATAGACGTTGATTACCAATGATTCTGGCTGCTCGGTTCTGAATACAGTCAAATGGAAGTAGCTGGTGTTGTGGTGCCGCCCAGTGATGAGAACAGTATTCCACATGCGGCCGGATCTGAGCCTTGTATGCAAGCGATGGGCCGCCGTGAAATACCGTCTCACTCTACTGAGCACACCAAGCTTTTTTGAGGCTATTTTAGCCTTGTCCTCCAAATGACCGCAAAACTGAACGTCACTGGATATATCAACGCCAAGGACCTCGTGATTTGGCTTCACATCAAGGAGAGTGTCTTGAAACTGAGGAGATACGATAAACGGATTCTTTGTAGCGGTAAGTAATAAACGGATGGACATCAATTTAATTTCTCAATGAATTTACAATATTTCATTTAATTTCGCAACCATTAGCAATTGTAGACCACAAATATTCTGTACCAAAAACTGAACGCTGCTGAAAGCGTTACGACCTTCTCTATTGGTGATCAAATTTATACCGTTGTGACTCTTGTGGTACATGGTAATGTTAGCGGAGTTAAGATAAATAATGTAAATCAATTATGTAATGAAATGGACGTCCGTATAATAACAGCTAATTAGATCAAATATAAATTATAACCACTCAATTTATACAAGAATAAGTTAAATAATGTAACTGTACAAACATTTATTCCTA